TCAAATTCAGAAAAATTTGGGGCTGTTTTTAGAAGATTTATTAATGATTTATACTATATTAATATTGGTAAAAAAAATTCTGTGGCTTTTATATGAGAGTATATATTTTAAAATAGCTGCATGATATGGTAGAGGTAAAAAGCTTCATGTGGATCATAAATTAATATTATGTGGCAATTTTTCATTTATTAATAAAGAAAATATTCAAGCCACAATTAAAATTTTTTCACTGGATTATTTGCATACAAAGTTTGCAGCAAATATTTCCTGCAACAGAAGTGACAATTTTTATTTTGCCAAGACAGGAAATTTAGTTAGTGAAAGCAGTAACCCTATTTTGAGAGATGTTAAACAGGAAGGCAAATTTTTGAATTTAAATTGATTTTTGAAGGAAGACTTCATTTAGTCTTGCTATCATTCTACGTGGCTCTTAACTTTTTTATGGTATTTATAATTTTATTGTTATTCAGCTTTCTGTTTGCTTAGAATGCACATGAATGTAGACTTGAAAATATTTATATTGCAAACTGAGATGCCATTGTTATCATAATTAAAGATTTTTGCTCTGATTTTGGAGGAATTTACTGATAATACTTTTGATTGTGTATTGGTTTCTGGTTTATTGAAATGTGTAAAATAGCCTGTTAATGCATATACGTATGTTAATGACATGTATATGTTTATGAAGTATTCTGTTATATGTATATAGTGTTGTGATTAGTTTTCTGCTTACTCTTTATTTAAGAAAAAGTTATCTGTAAGAAAGCGAATATTCTTTACTATATGTAGGAGTAAAATTGAAAAGGCTAATGCAATATAATTAATACAAAATTAAGTTTTTTCTCATGTACTTAAATACAAACATAGCCATTAAAGACTTTCTCAACCTTGCAGTTCTAAACAAATCTTAAGTATTTTTACTTGAAATTATAGGCATTGTGTAAGGTATATAATTGAAGCTTACTGTGTGTGATAGTATGAAATTAAATTTTTAATTACTGAAATGTAAATTTTTAAATATGAAATACTCAGTGCATTTTATATGCATCTTTTAATACTTCAACTATATTTAAAAACTGAAAACATCTGAAGTGTGAAATTATTACAAATTTTTCTTTTTCTTGTTTAGGAGCTGTTCTCAAAACATTGGGTGACAAAGAATTCACTTTTACAAAAATCGAGCAGGATATTAAAGACAGCGAACTATAGAACAAATATGGCGAAGCTGCATGAAGTCTATGTTGAATTTTATTATTGAAAAAAATATGCTCTTCAGATTTAATGTTAGTTTTTATTGTTTAACAGTAATTGCAGTTTTCGAATACCTGTAAAATAAACCTAATTCTTAAATTAATTTCATGTGTATTTCTTTTGCAAGTATTACAGTTCATAATACTTCAAACAACTTGAAATTTTATACTTGTTAATTTATGTGGGATATGTTCATAATAATTTTATAATTTAAATAACTCATTGTCATCATATGAGCATAATCTAAAATGCACAGCATTAGCCAACTTCTAATTGCTTTCTTTTGTCCAGTTGCCTCCTTTTAAATCATTTAATACCATAAAGTTATTTGATGAAAAAAATAATTGGTATGTCCACATCAACATGTACATTTATAATGATGTTATAGAAAAAGTCACATGACATAAATATTTAAAAAATTCAATAATCCTAAACAAATTAACTTTTTAAAGTTTTATCTGGTATATAAGATAAAATAAAGAACATATTTAGGTACTTTTGAATTTGCATAATTTTATGAACTTATTTATGAAATTAACAGTTACATTGTAAAAGGGAACTTTTTAAAAATACCTCAATAAAGCATTTCTTTTGTAGAGGTGAACTTTTAGTACTGATCTAATATATTTATAAGATTTTAAACTGAAAAAGACAACAATAATAGATTACAATACATTGCAAGATTGACTGATAAATGTAAAATTTTTACATATCATAATTATGTGTGTAATTAAAACAGAAGTTACTCGATTAACTTGCATGCAAATTAATATTTTCTTTAACATGTTTGGGATAAACTGAATTTTAATAAATAAATATGTATATATTTGTGTATTATCTGAAGATATGAATGAAATATTTGTGACATTAAACATTCATCTTCAAGGAAAATAACAAAGTCAACTTGGTAAACTATTGGAAAAGGTAAGTTTTCTACAATTTCCTGGTCTATATTTAACAATTTTAAAATTTAGCACACTCATTCAAATAATCTAAACGTATGATGTTTTCTTTTGTGCTACATTCGTTTACTGAATTTGTTAATTAACTATATTGTACTTTAGATAGAAATTAACGTAGATATTCCCTGTATTTTACGGTACAAAAACTTATATATTTGATAATAATTGACCTAAATCTTCCCTATGTTTTCTTTGCATATACGAATGACTTTGGTAAAAATTTAGTCCGATGTCTTCTCCTCTTTACTGTGTATAAGTGCACATTTTTGGTAAAAAATTTGCATAAATCTCCAATTACCTATTTACTGCATTTTTCGTAAAATGTGCTTATTTTAATCTCTTATTTTTTATATAAATCTATGCAAAAATGTTCTGCATATTATGATTAAAAGATAAAATTAATTTAATATCAAATTTTTACATATCCACCTTTTAGGTATGTACAGCAATATGGAATATATATAACTGGAAAATTTAAATGCAAAAAAATTAATTTCTATTCAAAAATTACATAACACTAAAAGGCTGAAAATCACTTTTAATATTTCATTTAAAAGTGACTACAATATATGCAATAAATTTTGTAAACCTGAGTTCTATGTTTTAAATGAATAGAACCTGAGTTCTATGTTTTAAATCAATTAATGCTATCGTTCATTTACATGGCATAAGAAAATGTCCTTTGGAAAAGCAAATAATTTATTTAAAGTGTTATTTAGTAAACAAACTGTTTGCTACAGTTGTTTACTAAATTTAAATTTATGAAATGAATTTAGTAAACAAAAATGCAAATGAACGATAGCATTAATTGATTTAAAACACAGAATTGATGTTTACAAAATTTATTGCATATTTTGTAGTCACTTTGAAATGAAATATTAAAAGTTATTTTCAGCCTTTAAGTGTTACGTAATTTTTTAATAGAAATTTTTTTTTTTTTTTTTTTTTTTTTTTTTTTTTTCCATTTACTAGTGCATTTAAATTTTCCAGTTATATATATTCCATATTGCTGTACATAACTAAAAGGCAGCAGATATGTAAGAATTTGATATAAAAATTATATTTTACCTTTTAATCATAGCATACAGAAAGTTTTTGCATAGATTTATATAAAAAATATGAGATTAAAATAAGTACATTTTATGAAAAATGCAGTGAAAAGGTAATTGGAGATTTATGCAAATTTTTTACCAAAAAATGTGCATTTATACACAGTAAAGTGGAGAATACATCGGATTAAATTTTTACCAGTCATTCGCATATGCAAAGAAAACATAGGGAAGATTTAGGTCAATTACTATACGTTTTTGTACCGTAAATTACGGGAAATATATACGTTAATTTCTATCAAATATATACGTTTTTGTACCGTAAAATACGGGGAATATCTACCTTAATTTTTACCTAATATATACGTTTATATACAGTAAAAAATCGGGGAAATTTACGTAAATTTTTACTAAATATATACGCATACGTGAAGCAAAAAATTGAGATTTACGTATATGCGATAAATATACGTAAATTTTTACTAAAAATATACGTAAATCCCTGAAATTTACGTATATTATACGTAAAAGTAGCGAATGGAACAGTAGTCTCTCGCGTAAATATACCTAAATTTTACGTAAAAGTTACGTATAGTATAACGTAAAAATATACGTAAATATTTAGTAATTGCCACTGGACACTTCTTATGATATTTTTACGTTCAACTTGAACGTTTTTTATACGAAAGGCCATTCGTAAATTGCACGTATTTTTCTCGTGCAATTTACGAATGCATGCTGCCTGAAACAACTTACATTGAAAGAAATGTTTAATAAAGTAAGCAAATAAATATTAAGCTTTTTTTTTATTTGTAAATTTTGATACCCTTTAGATTATAATTATTCTTTATTTCATAAATTACGGTTTCATATTTTTAATTTTATAATTTCTACATGCCATCTTACCAGATTTAAACTGATGATCTATAATCCGGAATTGTCGAAGTCCCGACGAGTCCGGATTAATGACTTTTGACTGTAATTTCGAAATGCTTATGTTTGACTTGTTCAGAACCTCAAGTATCCCACCATATTAGAAACAGGAACAAATTATAACCCATGTGCCCATTCAAAAGATAACCATATTTGTCAATGAATTGCCAAAAATATTCCTCCAAAATGCGAATTTGCACTCAAAATGGCAGTCGTAAAAACAGAAAGAAATTTCAGATGATTAAAATTATGTTCTACTGCCGATTTTGGCCGAAATTAAGGACTTTTAAGAACTAAAAATCGATTCCAATAAAACCTAAGGACCATACAAACCCTATATATGGTGGGAGGTATGGGACTATACCTGTCTAACCATCATACATGATAGAAAAGTACTGGTGTCTTTGGTCTTCCAGTACCTGTATATATTCCATTAAGTTGAAGAGAAATCCAAAACAGCAATTAAATTTTAAAAATAATACTATATTTCAAATTTAATTTTAATGATATTAATGTCAAAAATAGGAATTTTCATCAGTACTTTCAGGTTTAATTCTTTAAGAAAGAAGCTGAAATTATTTTCAAAAGGATGTATTTGGTATACAACATAATTGTTATGTGAATGGTTTTTCATTTTCTGAATACTGACTTTTTCCCCCTTTATACTTCTGTGAACTTTCCAATACTCTATATTTCACATGAAAATAGTTTCAGTTTTGTCCACCCTTTTCCATTCAACAAGCACATTGCTAGTTTATTGTAATTAAAAAGGACATTATTGTAATTATAAAGGACACAATCAAAATAAAAAGCAAATAAATTTATATCTTAAATTATACATTATTTTACATGATTTAAAAACAATATACCATACATTTGTAAATATATTGTCACATTATCTTTCTGCAGTATATTGATCCTTACAAGAATAATGGACTGTGACACCAGTGGGAAAATGTGCAAAGGCGCTAGAATGAAATTAAAAAAAAATAAACATTCAACAAAAACATTTAGTTTCAGCATTTCAATTTTCATTATACATAAGCAGCAATAAGGTTTCAAAATATTTTGCTCTCTTTTCACTTTTTAATAAAACTTTGCTCATTAGTTTTGATACGCTATGACTTAAGAGAAATTAAAATATTATATGTATCTAGTTCTAGAAACACATATAATATTCTAATACCGGTGTCAGCAACCTTTTTTTGTCTGCGAGTCAAAATATGTGTATTAAGAAGACATTTTGGGTCAGTAGTATTTTCATTTTAGAACAGTCTTTGAATCTTATGTGAAAGAAAATGAATTAATAAGTCTTCCTCAGTTATTTATTAATTTTTTGTGTCTTCTAATCATTCTTTTAAATTCAGTTATATTAAAATAAAATTGCTATATTAATTTCCCTAAAGTCTGCAAGATTTACCAAATTCTCTTATCTTCAATTAATATTTTAAATTTTAATATTTTTTTCCCTAAATGCTTAAGAAGCATAACCCATAATTTAAAAAATCGTTTTATATCTGTTTTGTTTGATCAATGACACTATGATTGCCACTCACTTATATTATTATTATTATTACATGAAATTTCCTACATAAAAATTAGAGAAGTTAAAAAGGAACATCAAAAATAAAAATTTCAAATTATAAATGGAAATCTAAAACACACGAATGCAAGCTGCATGACAATGTTACAAAGTTAAATACACATGCAAAGATTCACAGCAAGAACATGAAACAAAAAAGCATTTAATAAATAACTTTTTATGAATATGATAAAAAGACCAATAAGCTGAAATATAAATTCAAAAATACATAGCTCTATAAAAGTAAATTCACAAAGACGCTCTGAATTATTTTGGTGTTTGGAAAATCAGAAAATGTATGGCATATATTTTCTAAATGCTATTCTGTATTTAATGTTTGCTATGTGTTTCTTGGCAAAAGATTTTAAAGTTTTTGGTCTATTATTGTAAAATAACATCAAACACATGGCATTTGGATCTAGATTTAAGTACAGTCGAACCTCAGTTATCTGAAGTAAATAGGACAGTAACCATCTTGGTTAACAGAGACTACATTTTTAAATCATAACAGTTTTTTTTTTTTTTTTTTTTTTTTTTTTTTTTTTTGCCAGGTTTTCTCAAAATTTTATTTGAAATTTTAAAAATATAGGTCCAAATGCTAGTATTAATATTTTAACAAAATCTTTTATTACTAAAACAAATTTGCTTTCTTCATTTAAGCAAATAATCCATAGAAGACATTCATTTAAAAATTATAAACAAACATAAAAACTAAACATTTGATGGGATAAACAAACTCCATTAAAATTTATGCAAACTGTTCAATTTTATAAAATTTTTTACATGCAGTTTCATAGCACGTTTTTATAACTCAGTTACCCTTTTCACGACAATCCTATGTAACTCTGTTAGCAACCACAGGTTGACATCAGTTTTTAATTAGTAGAAGACAGGAAAAGATCAAGACATTGCTCTGAAAATATAAAAGAGCTTGCTCAAGGCTTGACAGATGAGCAGTAAAACCTCAGAACACTAGTGGTTCTAACTCAGGTTCAAATTCTAGTGAACGTAGCTGACTGCATGGAAGTTTGGTACTTTTCCGTTTCGCCAGAGCAAATCTCAGCAAGCAGACTTTATTGGCGACATCATACAATATACACATAAAAAATTTTAGTTCTAAGAATTTTTTATTTTAAAGGCATAAATGTTTTAATATCGTTTAAAATTGTGTACAAATTCAATAAATAAAGACAATAAATTTGTAAAAAGACATTAAGAATTTACTATGATTTCATGGTTCAACATCCTGATTCGCCGGTTCACATCACATGACCCCAAGAATAGTACCCAAGTAGTTTACGCAAGAGGTTCACATCACAACCTCTTGCGTAAACTACGCTACAAAAATCTAATTTTCTTAATAATTTCTACAATAATTTCAAATTAAATCTTAATTTGGAATGCAGGTTTAAATGCAAAAATTATTTCAATTCGTACGAATAGCCTACTCAGAAATTATGTAAAACCATGGTGCTTTACTTTTGTTAGTGCATTCTCATTAGAACCGATGAATTTAACCCTTGACTTTGCCTTTTCTACATTTTCGCCTTTGGGTGAGTGGTGTGATTGCATCCTAAATGACTTAATTACCGCGAATGGCCTTAGGGCATAAAATTTGAACTATCTGATAAAAATTCTATGTAATTGTATGCCAGTATTGAAAGAAACAATCCAATCTGATAAGAAATGCTGAGATTTGTTTTAAAAATGATGTGTAAAAGGTTACCAGTGAGGATATTCCGTTTGGCCCCAGTTGTATCATTACTGGCAACTTTATTGCCTGTGCTGACAAAACGGAAAAGTACCGGAAATTTTTGTGTTTTCCTCCATATGTAATGAGAATACAGATCAGATTTCCTTAAAAAGTCCGCAAAGGCATAAGTGCACTTACGAAAATAGCTATCTGTGCTTTACCATAATCAAAAATAAATCTAGATTTCAGCACAGCAAATTTTCACATTTCGCTGGTTTCTACATTTAAGCATTCTGTAATATCACCAAGAGCGACTTCTTTTCACGCTCTTTTATCCTTTGAAATATGCATACAAATTCATTGCAATTAGTGTTATCACATGTACTCCATATCTTTTACCATAATGCACAATAAGAAAATAGTTAATTACCTATCATTGGTAAGAAAAGTGAAAAAAATCGATCACTACTAACAATCCAAATGTTACTAATTTTTGTTGCACCCTTTTTAATGTTACCTACATTTTCCTAATCATTTCTTTAAAATGCTTGCTGATTCAGTTAATAGATGTTCTATAGTATTTCAAGTTAAGGAAATACAGTCAAAAGTCTTTAATCTCGACTCGACGGGACTTCGGTGATTTCGGATTTTCGGGAATATAGATCATCAGTTTAAATCTGGTAAGATGGCATGCAGAAATTATAAAATTAAAAATATGAAACTGTAATATATAAAATAAAGAGCAATTATGATCTAAAAGGTATCAAATTTACAAAAAAAAAAAAAAAAAAAAAAAAAACCTTTATATTTATTTGTTTACTTTATTAAACATTTCTTTTAACGCGCGCATGCGTAAAGTATACATTATGCACAGTCAAAATTAGAAAACTGCAACCAGAAAACTATTTGATGTGTATTCGTGATATTTATAATGACGAGGAATTTGATTTAAATCATATCAAAGACAAAGTACATCGAGATGAAATACTACATTTAGTAAGGAATTATAAGCCGAATAAAATAAAATCATCTGCCCTGAAGATAAGGCTAGTGCTGATAGCACAACTTCCAGTTCATTGAGTGCCGCCCCCCGCCGCAGAGAAGCGTGAAATTGATTAACATATTTCGGAATGGTTAGTGAAACAAAGGATATGCCTTTATCCATTTTTTGCAGCAATTCCGCTTTTAATTTGATGGACATCGGAATATGCTTTCACCTTGTAGATCCTTTGGTAGCTCCAGAAACGGAAATTCTTTTTCACATAATCGAAAGTTCAAGCTTACTTTTATAAAATTGCTCTAACAGTCTGCAAAAAATAATAAGCCGGATCCAATTCAAAGATTAAGGAACAACGCAATCTGCAACATTAACTGAAATAGATAATTAGATCATTTTAAGCTTAGCTTATACCGTCGGTTATACATTAAATGCGCTTGCGTAAAGATATTATGCACATGCATTAATGCATTATGCATTGACGCATGTGCAGAAAGTTTGTAGCTTTGAGGTCCGGATTATAGACATCTGGATTAAAGACTTTTGACTGTATATGAAATTCAAACTGATTTAAAATTTTGTAATTGATTATTACAATGGAAATACTACTACATCTTTATTATTTATATCAAGAACAATATTACATTCATTCATGGCCAAGCAACCAAATGCTACTTTTCTTAGTAGAGATGCCTGAATGACGGATTTTTCAATGTAAATTCACTCACATTCAAATTTACATATGAGGAAATCTATGACAGATCTATGCAGTCAGCTCATTCAATTGTTAAAAACTAAACCTAGCTTAAATTACCGACTTTTCCACTTATCTACTAAAGTGCTGTAATGAACATTATTTACACAGAATAGAAATATTTTGAGATTTTACAAAAAAGAATCCCCGATTCTTTGGGTTTTGACAATTAATGACGCCTTGAAAAACACTCATTATGATCCATTTTAAACAAACTCCATTATGATCCATCTAAAACAAGATTCCAAGGAAGACAGATATTTTTTACTTAACAACTCTCAAAAGTGATAACAGAGTATCATTAGATAACAGATAAGTAAAAATCTTGAGAAAGTAAGCATTGCTACTCATTTAAAAAAGAGTTATTTTGCTGACTTTGGAGTCTAATCCAAAATACATTAACAGTATATAGAAGACTAGGAAAGATCCCTAAGGAAGACATACACTTACTTAACTACTGTGAAAACTCCCAATACAGTATCATAGCATTTTCAACCAAAGTATCTTAGTACACTTAACATCAACAGACTCAAATCCTGCTCTACAATTTTTCTGAAATAAAACTTTCTCAAAAGGCTAGTAATATAACTGATATAATTAAATAATGAATGTAGAGCTTAAAAACAATAGGTGGTAAGGAAGGGGACTGGACTATAAAATTATACTCTATTCTTAATTAACAAAGATTCATCACAGAACAGAATAAGAACCGAACATAAAAAGGGAACTGTGCTTGTAACAGTAAGTTTTATTTGATGGGACAGCCATTTTCATGTAGAGAGGTATAAGAATTCACAGTGGTTCCTACATCTACATAATTAGAATAGGTAAGTACTAAGATGAAATCCTAAGACCTTTTGTCACATCTTATGTTGTTGAATTCAACAGTTATTTCCTTGCTGTGGACAGTAATACATGTCTGCACAGACTGCAAAAAACTATGGTGGAAGGCAAAAGTATGAGGTATTAAAACTGGCTCAGATGCATGTAATATAGTTGACCATGTTTGTGACATGATGGGATGCATAACTGCGGACTAAAAATAGCAATTAATTTAAAATATTATTTTTAATTTCAATGAACAATAACTGGATAATTTCATTTCATAGATGCTGCATAATGTACTACAATCATAATTCATCAGGATAGTACTTCTTACTGAAGTTCCCCCATTCCAACTGTTTTTTTAACGTATCTTTAACTTGATTCCATAAAGTCAAAAATGATAAACTTAAATAAATTCAGAATTTTGAAGACATTTGCTTTTCTTTTTATTGTACATCATATCACAATTTAAATTTGTCGTTTGGGGGGGGGATTCACATAGTCTGCTTTTGTTACATTAAATCATTTCCTAATAATAATAATCAATTCCTAATTTTGCTCAGGATTTATATATAAGGAATTAAAATATAACAACCATTATTGAACACAAATTGTCTTGGTAATTATTAGTATTGATAATAAACATAAAATTTTGATAAAAAAAAGCTGGGTAACATGTATTAATTTAGAAGTCAAAGAACAAAAAATTAGCATCATATTTGCAAATTTTCACAGGACGAGATTCGATGGTTTTTACCGAACCATCAACCTTAGCTGCGAAAGTGCAAATGAACGGGATAAAATATAGTGAAAAGATAAGATAAGAATGGTTGAACACGAGTTAAGCTACTGGCACCATCTATTGATGAAACAAGAAAACTAAAACAATTTCCTTAAAGGCTAAAGATGGATTGGAATTAGTGTTGTAAACTAGAACAGAAAGTATTTTTTTTTTGGGGGGGGGAATGTGAAACACATCTAGAAAATCTAATTCACCAATGAAAGATTTTTTTTTTTTTTTTTTGGGAATAATTTTGGATGCAGAAAAATGGATAGTGTGATTTTCAGACCAACAATGCTGTTCGACTTCTAAATTAATATTTGTTTGGTTTGCTATTTTAACCTAAATTATGGATAATATGGTTAACTCACCTTTTACCAATTCGCTTTTGACACACTCTGCACATATCTAAATCTGTGATGATTAATTTATAAGAATGGCAATGGATTCTACGAGCTTGAACCTAAATATAATTAAATTTTTTTAAATGTTTCGCATTTAGAGCAAGGGGGGACATTTTTTAAGATTCTTTAAAAATGAATCACCAGTAAGATAGATACAGTTCTTCATAATCAGAATTTAAAATGATTCATATACTAAATAATGTTTTTAGTAATTTAAAATCTAGTTCTTAGTTCTGAATCTGGCCAACTATTATTTAAGAAAGATCTAAAAGATTAGTATAACAGAATCCACCAAGCTCGACTTAATGTGAACTGAAAGGGTTGCGAGTTAGCGAAAATGTTAAGTTTTACAATATAAGAGGTAGATTATTCACAATTCATATTTTACTGCACATGATTCTAATGAAGTTCCATCAGTATACAGGACACAGAAAAGTACAACATATCCTATAATGTTTTTAAGTATTAATATATATATATATATATATATTGTAATATCTTGTTATTTAATAATATAAATATAATTATTGTTGAAGTGGCAACACCATATTTGTATTAAACCGTTACTCAGCAACCTTAGATATGTGTTTAAAAAATGAGATTCTGAGGATTTTAACAGCTAGGAGTAGTATGAAAATTTTGCCACTTAAGAATTGTATAAAATTTGTCTATCACAGTGACTAGAAATAAAATTTATGTTCTACTAAGAAGATTGTCTGTTTTGTAAATTACTGCAAAATACATTACAATATATATATATATATGTATGTGCAAAGCTGAAGAAATGACTGGCAGGTCTTTGTAGGGAGGGAGGCACCATGATGGCTCTCACGTGTGTTACATCTTTATGCAAATTCATCACATAGGCAATGGAGAAATGCATTGTGAATAGCACACGCACCTTCCACAAAACTGAAACCTTTCTAACAAATGAAAAGGAACAAGCATTGCAATTAGTAAAAGAAAAATATGGAGACATTGCTTTGTTCAGCATTACACTGAAATTAATAATTCATGCTCTACTTTCCTGTTGAATCCTTTTTGAAAATGAGCCAGAGACCATGCTTCAGCAATGAAAAATAATAGTTCTTATGAAGGAATGGTTTGGTTTATGTGATTATGACAAAGCCTCAACGGCTGTTCGGTATCAGAAAGAATATTGCTTGGCAGCATTGTTTTACGCCAAGCAGAGTTTGGCTTTAGTGTAACACTAAAGTTATTTCGTTTTTGCTTTATTAGTATGAATGATTTCTGACTTGATGTAAGAGCATATGGTTGCTCGCTCTTAGCTAAGTTACATAGGTAACTATAAGCACATGCGTGTGGTTAGTATTCAATAATGTTGTTTTTGTTAAAATAAAATTGTTATTGTTAATATTACAGTCCACTTACTGAAGTTAAGTATCTTAAATAAGTTCGAGCTATCTTCGGCAAGAAACAGTTTGGGGGTCTCACGTTAGCCGGAGAAGAATATGGCTACTAATATTGTTTCATTGAATCGCCAACGCGGCGTAGTGAAAACGAAACTCGGAGCTTTGATAAAATTCCTTGATGAGTATAAAATGGAGGAGAATAAACTCAAATATCATAAATAAATGATGTTATTATGAAGATTAAATTGGATTCTTTGTTGGAATTAAAATCTCGGGTTAAACAACTCATAGTGGAATACACCAATTTGCCAGAGGAAATTGACTTGAAGGATAATCTAAGCATTACACAAGAATTGGAACAAAGCATCGAAGAGTTCGAAGTAAGAGATTTAGAATTTTTTCTTTCTAATTGTGAAACGAATATAAAGATAAATTTGAAACCAAAACTGTTTTTCTAAATCAAATTTTAAACTGCCTGATTTACCTCTCTTCCTCAATTTTATGGTAAATATGAAGATTTTAAAAAAAGTTTAAAGTGCAATTTATGTCTATGATTGGTAATAAAATAATTTAAATGATACTGAGAAACTGTTTTATTTGAAAGCATCACTTAAAGTTGAAGCAAAAATGTTAGAATCATGTCAGGATACATTTGAGTCGCTATTTTCTGTACTTGAAAGCAGATATGAAAACAAAAGAGCAGTAGTTGATGCCTTTATCAATAATTGTTGAACTTTGAAAAAATAAATGACTCACCTTTTCAGTTGAGATCACTGGTAGATAATGTTAAAAAGATGTTTGAGATCTTTAAGTGTATTAGAATTTGATAGAAATATTTATCTGATGTTTTGATATTAAATATTTACTGCATAAATTAGATAGAGAATCTAGAAAAGCATTTGAACTAAACGTAAAATCAAATGAAATTCCCAAACTTGATGAATTTTTAGAATTTCTCGAAGAAAGAATTCGCATTCTTGAAGAAATAAACAAAGTTAGTTTTCCTAAGCAGAGCTATGCTACTAAAGTATCAAATCAATTAAGTCGCTCTAGAAATTCAAAATCCTTGGTAACTAAAACAAACCCTTTTCGAAAGTGTATTATGTGTAAAGAACCACACCCAATTTATCATTGTTCGAAATTTAAGAGTATTCTGTTTCCTGAGCGGTATGATTTTGTTAAAGAATATAAGTTATGCATTAAATGCCTTTCTCCATCAACAACGTATTATCACAGTGTAAAGCTAAATTCAAGTTGTTATGTCTGTAAGAAAGACACACATCATTCGCTGTTACATAAAATTGACGAAAAACAAAATGAATCATCGAAAGAAAATGAATTGACCTTGAACCTTTCGTCAGTGAATGGGAAAGAGGACTGTCCCCTCTCCCCCCCACAACTTTGATGGCAGCTGCAAATAAATCTAAATCTGTGTTAATAAATACAGCGATTGTTTATCTTCGCGATGTTTACGATGAACGAATTCCTTTTAGAGCTTGATTCAGCTTCGACTTCTAATTTTTATACTGTAGGTGTTATGAACTCATTAGGAATAAAAAGAACGAGCCTTTATTCCAGTTAGGGATGACTACTTTGAATGTTAAAATCACAAATAAGACGGTTTATCGAACTTAAAAAGAAATGAATGGACAATTTGAAAAAAATTAGTTGAATACATAACCATGAACTATCGAAATCTATTGATATTTCGAAATTAATATTCCGAAAGGAATAAAGTTAGCTGATGATGAATTTTTCAAGGTAAAAAAGGTAGATTTATTAGGTGTGCGGAATTATTTTTTGAATTTTTAAAAACAGATAAAATACGTTTAGAAGATAATGAGTTACTTCTTCAAACAGCTGCTTCGGCTTTTTAGTTTCTGGAAGCGTTAATTCCACATGTAAAAAATTATGACTTAAATGTTGTTTTTTGTCATCAGAGATTAATTCGTTAAAACTTAGTAAAGTCATTCTGGGAAATTGAAGAAGTAAATGAAACTAAAATCTACAGTTATTTCTGAATTAAATTATTGCAACGAACTTTTTAAAAACTCATTTTACCGGCATGCGGATGGAAGCTATGTGGTTAAAAAAAATGTCGTTCAAGCCAGATATTGGTGAAAACATACAATTAGGGGATTCAAAAGGAAATCGCTGAAAAAAGACTGAATCAATTGTTGAAACGTTTGTCAAGTAATTCTGTAATGAAAGAAGTTTATGTTTCATTTTTAAAGGGAATATGAATCATTAAAGCATATGGAAAAGCATGGAAGACTATTCTGAAACTGAACGAAAATATTTTCTTCCTCATCATGGCGTGCTGAAACCTGATAGTAAAACAACAAAGTTACGTGTCGTGCTCGACGCGAGTGCCAATAACTACTAACGGATTGTTTATTGAACGACATATTATGTAAAGGTGGAATAATTCAAGAGAAACTTTTTTTCCATCATGATACGGTTTAGAAAGCATATTATATGCATTTACTGCCGATATTGAGAAGATGTTTCGACAAATTGAAAATTGCCATTGCAGACCAATATCAGAAAATACTTTGGAAGGAAGGATGAAGATAAGCCCTATAGAACTATACAGACTCAAAACGGTAACTTATGGCACATCATGCGCTCCATATTTGGCACAAAGGACTCTTCAACAGTTAGCGAAGGAATGAAGAAAAGGATTTTCCTGTCGCATCGAAAGTGGTCTTGGAAGATTTCTATGTAGACGACTGTCTTACTGGATCTTCGAATTTGAAGGAATGCATTCAGCTCCAGAAAGATTTGACAGAATTGCTCCAAAGAGGAGGAATGAAGCTACACAAGTGTGTACTGTTTTGATTCTCAGAACTCTGATTTACAGAATTTTTCATTTGATCGTAATAGTAATACAACTGTGAAGACGTTAGGTATGTTGTGGAATAATAAGAAGGATACATTGCATATAAAGTTACTGTTAATGAAAAGCCTGATGTTACGAAGAGAGATGTTTTATCTCAAATAGCGAGATTATATGATCCTTTAGGCCTACTCGGTCCTATTTTAGCAAGGCAAAGATATTCATGCAAGCACTTTGGTTGCTTAAGCTAGACTGGGCGGAACAGTTTTTTACCCACACCTCTTGCCAATGAATGGAATGTGCTTATTAAAACTCTTCAGAGTATAGAAAATATACAAGTACCTCGTTGCATTTTAAAGAGACCTTTTCAATGCTCATTTTACAGGGATTTGCGGATGCCTCCGAGAAGGCATTTGGGGCAGTGTGATATATCTTCAAAGCATTACAAGCCCTGGTGAAATTGTAGTAAACTTCTTTGTAGCAAATCTCGTGTAGCACCAATCAAGACTATGACTATTCCTAGATTAGAACTATCAGCATGTCTACTCCTGTCCAAATTTATGCAAAAGGTTTTAGAAGCTTTGAAACTTAAAATTGATGACGTTAAGCTCTGGTCAGATTCAAGCATTGCTTTAGCCTGGATCAATACATCACCGCATCTTTTGAAAACCTTTGTGAGTAATAGAGTCTCACAAATTCAACAACTTACTTCTAACTATCAGTGGGGACATGTGTCTTCAGAAATGAACCCAGCCGACATCATTTCCAGAGGATCAGATGCTACAACTCTTGGATCTAACAAGCTGTGGTGGAAAGGTCCTGATTTTTTAAACAAGGACAATTTTCAAGATAAAAATGGACTTAGTGATGAGCTTTCTTCAGAACTGAAACCAGTTACGACTTCCTTTTTGACTTTAAAAACTGATTCATTCTTTGATGACTTCCTAAAAATAACTAATGATTTCTTGAAAACTAATACGAATTCTAGTTTACTTTTCAGATTTATCTACAACTGTAGGAACACAAGTGAGAAACGAACAGGTAGTATTAGTATAGATGAAATGGAACTGTCAAGGAATACACTCCTTAAATATATCCAAGGTAGGTATTTTGCAGAAGAAATTTCTTGTTGGCAGAAAGGTCTACAGATAACATCAAGGAGTAAGTTAAAATATTTTGATCCCTTCTTAGATGAAAAAGGGTCTGTTAAGGGTAGGTGGTAGGATAAAGAATTCTAATTTAAGTTATAGTCAAAGACATCCCATTATTTTGCCTGCCAAGAATAAGTTAACTGAACTTATATTTATTTATTTTCATGAAAAGGATTTTCATAATGGTCCACAATCACTATTAGACAAATTTATTGGCCCATTAATGGCAGGAATATAACTAGAAAGATAGTCCAAAGCTGCATAATTTGCTTTAAGGCAAAACCAATAATTTCTCAACAACTAATGGGAGAATTACCTAAAGAGAGAATTAATATTAACTTTACATTTAATTGTTGTGCTATTGATTACTGCGGCCCATTTTTGATAAAGTACAAAGGGCAACGCAAGGGTAACTATCATAAGATATATGTTGTATTTCTTGTTTGTATGGTGACAAAGGCAATTCCATCTAGAGACTGTCAATGACTTAACCTGCAGAAGCATTCATTGCTTGTCTGAAGAGGTTCTTTGCCCGAAGAGGTAAACCAGAAAAAAATATTTAGTGACAATGCAAAAAAACTTTGTTAGTGCAAATACAGAAATTAAAAAATTAATGAGTATCTTTCTAAAGCAGAATGGAACTTTAGCTAATTTTCTAGCCGAGGAAGGTGTACAAGTGGAAGTTTATACCCCCAAGAGCACCAAATTTTAATGGTTCTATCTGAAGCAGGAGTAAAATCCTTTAAATTTCATTTTAAACGAACAGTAGGAAATTCAGTATTAACCTACGAAGAATTTTTGACAGTAACAGTTCAAGTAGAGGGAATCTTAAATTCTCGCCTTCTTACACCGTTAACTTCTAATATTGATGATTTAAATATTTTGACCCCTGGTCATTTCCTTATAGGTCGACCGATCAATTCAATAATTGAACCCAATTTAACAGAAGTAGATAATAACAGACTTAGTTTATGGCAAAAAACTACAAAAATGGTACAAAATATATGGAAGAACTGGACTAATTACTTGAGCACCTTGATTCAAAGAAATAAATGGATGATTGCTAAACAAAATATTAAAATAGGGGATATGGTAGTGGTAGTGATTAAGGAAGAAAATCTTCCTACCTGCAAATGGTTGTTAGGGAGAATTGTAGATGTGTTTTATGGGAAGGACAACCTTGTGCGCGTTTTCTCTGTCAAAACCAAAAATGGTATTTATAAACGAGCAGTTACTAAAATTGCTGTACTGCCAATTGAGAAATAATGTACAAATTTTTATGTTTATTTGAAGGTTTGAATTGTAATTTATCATATTTGTTCTTTTCACATTGTAATTACTTATTATATTATTATTAATATTATAATTTGTGCATTAATTTACATTGTATCATTTTGTATTGTATGAACATTTATTACTTTTTGAATTTTACTTATTGTATTGAAATTAAATTTCAACGCCGGGCGGGGATGTTCGGTATCCAGAAGAATATTGCTTGGCAGCATTGTTTTACACCAAGCAGAGTTTGGCTTTAGTGTTACCCTAAAGTTATTTTCGTTTTTGCTTTATTGATATGAATGATTTCTGACTTGATGTAAGAGCATAGGGGGGTTGCTCGCTCTTAGCTAAGTTACATAGGTAACTATAAGCACATGCGTGTGCGATAGTTTCAATAATGTTGTTTTTGTTTAAAATAAAATTGTTATTGTTAATATTACAGTCCACTTACTGAAGTTAAGTATCATTAATTAAGTTCGAGCTATCTTCGGCAAGAACAACGGCTATCTGCCTAAAGGGAGGGATGCCTTCATGGAGGATTTCTAAGGGAAACTGGCTTGTATGCATGTTACACAATGAAAATACACATGCAGCCAGCCCGTTCGTGGGATTCAAGACTCAGACACCGAACTACCAGTGTTCAGTGACTTTACCGCTCGGCTGCTGGCAGGCCCCCTGATGAAGAAATGAATGAGGGAGAGAACTGGATATAACTGAAATGTTAGCACCAGCAAGAGCTTCATTAGCCGGGACTGAAAGAATATTTACTACTTTTGAAATAATATGTAACAAATTATAAAATCAATCATTCAAAAAGTGATCTTTTAAAAAAAGAAAAGGCAGGAACACTGAATTACTGAATGCAAAATGCAATAATATGCATATAATGTGAACATCTGTTTAAAAAAATATACAATTTGCAGACATAAGTGCCATTCCTATGGTTATATTCACTGTGTTTACTTGTAGTTACATAAAAAATTTATTCTAGGTGCAAGATTCCCCCAACTGGTAATATATAGCATATAAGAGTTTATAAAATGATTAAAATTATTTTGCAAACTATTAATGCCAAAAAGACTGCCATGATGTTTCTTTGCTTTTTATACTATTAATTAATAAAATTATGTACAATTTATATTATATCTAATTATTAATTATTACATTAATTTATGCACAAAAATTATAGTTACCATCAACACTTGGTAACCATTTAACAAGCAGTAGAAAAAAAATTCAATTTTTTTTAAACACCCTGGTTTGAGTGGGGGCATTACTTGAATGGTTATTGCTTTTGTAATTTCAAACCATATTATTTGGTACCAACAACCTGTTAATGATAAATACATAGTCCCCTACATTTTAATTTGTTCAAAATTAAAGCTTGTAAGAAAGAAAGTGCATTTATTACCTGCAAGCTCTTTCTGACATTAGTTCTTTAGCATTAGCTTTTAAACTGAAATACCATGAAAGAGCTCATAGGAGAAATGTTTTTGATTGTTTGATTTATTAGTGATTTGTTTATTAATTTGAATTAATACTTGATAAAATGATTACTTTCATCACCTTATTATGCAGAACTCCAGCAAATAAAACACCTATAAGTATAAAAACAAGGTTCCAATACAATGCAGATTCAGAAAAAGAAACTGAATTAGAAGTATACCTGTAAATGCTCTGCATAAAGAAGAGATTTTGATAACTGTACACTGTATTTCTTAGCTTGTATATTATGAAGAATACATTCTAAGAAATTTTTTACAGCACTTACTGGTACAATAGAAGGCAGCAAACTCAGAGCCTGTGGAATAAACAAGTTTTTAAATTTTATGCATATGAATTTCCTTATGTTGCTTCATTTCAAATTAAAGTTTTTTCGGGTATCATTTTATTCAGAATTTTTATTACATTAGAAGGAATATTAGGATGTAGAAAAAAGAAATAACATATATAAGCAATTAACATAATAGCATACATAACATACTAGCTCCAGAGCTGTTGCATCTATACTACATCCCTAACTAGATTTAGAAACTTACTGATATTACTAGGTTGAATGGTGCCATTAGTTTTATTCTGACTAGAATATTTGGAGGAAACTTAATAAAAATGCAACAATCCAGTAGATATGCAAAATCCAAATTTTTAATTTTGCAAATAAAGTATAAGGCCAATATCCAAAATTGTTGGAGTTCGGCATTTTCACATTTTGGATCATCAGTTTAAATCTAGTAAGATGACATATACACATAGTAACATTGGGGCTTTACTTATTGAACAAATATTGTCTCAAGAACTTTACAATGCAGATACGCACTTGCAATCATTGGCATAGAGCATGTTAATGTTAAAATAAAAATAATAATTAAAAAATCCCCTCTAGATTCTTTTAAGGGGGAAAATACTAATAATAAATAAATAAAAATAACATTTTCCCAGAAGAATCTTGAACAAATTCTAAGGTCACCACAATACTCAAAGGAAGACTGAATAATATTATTAGCATTGTATCAGAAGATACCAGCTAATTCTCAAATACCATACTTTCTCTATTACTATTCCCTGTATTTTTTCCCCCCGAGTACAAATAAAACCTTTTCCTCAACAATTAAAACATGAATTATAAAATACGAAAGCTTTACCTTAAAAGAATCAATCTGGTGTGAATATTCCTTTAAAATCTGAATAGCTCTATCCACATTTGGTTCTGGCGATGATACATAACCAACACCGGGAATGCTTATTTTCTGATTTTCAGTCGGAGGTAAGTATAGTTTCAGTAATATCAGATATACCTAAAAGCAAGGAAAAAGATGATAAATGCAATTTATATCAATTCAGCTTGATAGACCATCTATAACATTAAAAAAATATTCATTCCAATGTAAAAATATATGTTATTGTTGTCTGAGTGCTACCAATCTTAGAATTTGGTGATATACCATTTATCAATAGTGGATGGTAAATAAATGAAATACACTAGTTATTATTAATTAAGGAAAAATCACAAAATGATGATTACTCAAAAACTGTAGAATTTAATAAAATTGACCCACGCTATGCAACACGTAGTAAGGTATAAAATAACATGAAAAGAAAGTACAAGACAATTATGTTGTTATAGAAATTAGCATATGTATAAAATGAACAAATCGGATGTGTCATTCTGCTATAGAAAAATTACCTACAATATTGATATGATCTTCCTCGAGCTGGCCACTCCATGTGTTAAATTGTTTGTTACTTAAGATAATCATCCACAATGCGAGCCCTGTGTGGTCTAGCGTTGTCGTCCTGTAGCAGGAAATTATCATCTATTGCTCTGGCATAAGCGTGCACATAGACATCAAAGATGTCATCTCTATAGGCCTGAACATTGACAGTTCCACATGAAAAGAAATGGATGTCTGTCCATCCACCCAAAGAGCTGCTACTCGAAACACAGTCACTGCCTCCGCCATATGCATGTCTTTCACGGATGTTTGATGGACGATAATGGTTTCCAGGTTCTCTCCAAATCAAGTAATGCCTATATTCAGTAAAAATTTAGACTCGTGCATAAACTGAAAGCCCTCCATTGATCTTATGCAGCTGCCCAGAGGACATGATAGGTCCACTTCAAATGTTTCCTTCTACAATGTGACATGAACGCCACACAAATGGATGCTTGCCTCACGTACAGACCTCCTTGTGTAGCCTGCACAGTTGACATGGACATCAACCTTCCAATGGCTGTAGCAAGGGAGGATATGAGTTGGGGTTCTATTCTTTTATGTGCATAAATTTTTTTTTTTTTAAAATATCGTTCATCAGTGCTTGTAGCAGTTGGCTGTCCTTGGCTTAAGATACTGGATGTCGAATCTGTGGCTAGAAATGGTTGCCAAAATCTATGAACCATAGAAGGACCTGCATTTAGCCATCTGGCCACTTCTGTCCGACTTTGTCCTGCCTCTAGTCTCCCAACAGCATTCCTTAATGGTTCTTTGGGCAAATGATGCCTGGAGATCCCTGTTACTAATTGGCTATCCCAGATCTCTTATCTCAATATCACAGTGAAATTTGCAGACTTGCTTTGAAACATGCAATTTTATGCTCCTCCCAGATGAGATATTTAGACTGCAGTGCCACTAATTTACATAATGCAGTTTTACTTAGCAATTCCTATTTGGCAACATATACAAATTTTACACGGATTGGTTTATTTTTTAATGAGTTATCGCTATTTGTGTGATTTTTCTTTAATTTTTGGAAACCAGTGAAGGTAACAAATGTTCAAGCTTTGAACTTTCACCAGCAGTTAATGTAATTATTGAGATCTGGTAACGAAAGTGCATTTGTTAAATTAGTAAAAGCTAATTTAAATCAGTGTTAATCTGGCTTTGAATGTTTCATGTGGTAAATAATTTTATAATAATATACAGTCATCCATCAAGCAATAACCTATCCATCCTGTGTAACAGTTTTTATCAGCTTTTATGCGAATTGAAGAAAAAATTAGCAACTCTGCTCAAAATTCTCTGTACTGTCGCCTATAGTATGTGTTGCTGCCTTTAACTGTAATTGTACAAGATATATCAGCTGAATACCGTTACATATGGCACTACTAGTGCCCCTTTCCTTGCTGCTAGTCCTACAACAGTTAGCTGAAGATGAAGGAAAGGAATTCCCTTTAGCTGTTTCAGTCACACTTCAAGATTTTTATATGGATGATGTTCTATCAGGAGCAGAAGATTTAGAAAAAACTAAAAGAACTGCAAAATCAGTTAGTGAATCTCTTAAGTCGAGGAGGCATGAAGCTTCATAAATGGTTCGCTAATCACAAGAAATTGCTGATTAATGTTAATACTAAGACTGAAGATTATTTGTTTTCCAATGAAATGAAAAATGAAACGAAGGTGTTAGGTATTTTATGGAATCCAGATTCAGATGCTTTCACATTCAACGTAACTATAAATTTGCATGATTACTATACTAAGAGACATATTTTATCAGCTATTGCTCGAACATTTGATCCACTCAGTTTAATTGGACCAGTTATTAAGAAAGCCGAAAATTTTATGCAGAAGCTTTGGCTTCTAAAAATTGGCTGGAATGATGTGCTTCCCAAAACGGAATCTCGTGAATGGAAGAATTTCATCACATCGATGTCTTAAAATTAATGGTGTAATTATTAATTGAAAAATTTTGTCTAGCAACGCTGTTAAAATTCAATTGCATGGATTTTCTGATACTTCAGAATTAGCTTATGGAGCATGCATTTACATCAAATGTATATTGCAATCGGGTTCCAGTTCAGTAGTTCTTTTGTACAGTAAATCAAGAGTCACGCCATTAAAATCAGTTTCCATCCCAAGACTTGTACTCTGTGGTGCAGTGTTACTATCGCAGTTAATGAATAAGGTCCGAAAGGCACTTGAATTGAATTTAGATAAGATATATATGTAGTGTGACTCGTCTGTAGTTCTTGCATGGATTCGAAATTCTCCACATGTGTTAAAGACATTTGTAGCTAACCAAGTTGCCACATGAGTTTCAGTGGCGATATATGAAGTCAGAAGAAAACCCTGCTGACTTGATTTCCAGAGGTGTTAGCCCAGATCAAATTGAACATCTTAAACTTTGGTGGAATGGATCTTCATTCTTAAGAACAGAAGTAGTTGATTTGTCCCTAACTGTGTCTCAATTAGATTTAGATGAGATTTATCACAAGGAACTAAAGCAGCTATCCAATCAAACTACTTCAGTGAATAATGACTCTAAACTTGACTGTAATTCAATTCATTTGCAAAACTTTCTAGTCGAACCATTAACTAATGATCTGTTTTATAATATTCTAAATATTACACATAACTATACTAAATTATTGCATATTGTAAGTTATATTTTCAGGTTCATTTATAACTGTCGGAACCAAGAAAAAGAAGGAATTTTATCAGTAAGAAGTCAATGGGGCAGAGTTGTATCTGATTCAGGTAACTCAAAGTGAAATATTTTGGAGGATATTAAAAACCTGAAGGGGACATCTCAGGTTACAGGTAAAAGCTGTTTGAAATCATTGAATCCATTTTTTGATGAAACTATCAGTTGCTAAGAGTAGGGGGCCCATTTGCAAAATGCTGTTTTAAATTTTACACAGAAGCATCCCATTATTCTACCAGCTATCATCAGTTCACTAAATTAGTAATGGAACATTACCATAAGAAATATCTGCATCCACAAGCATTGTTGAACTGTGTCAAAGGTTTTGGCCTCTTAGAGGATCGGAAACTGGCATGCACAAATTTTGCGTAATTGTATAGTTTGTACAAGGGCTAAACCAATTCCTAGTTGAGCAAATAATGGGAAAATCTTCCTTAGGAGCGGGGGAGAATAAGTGCACCTTTTAAATGCACAGGAATCGATTTTTGCACCCATTTTATATAAAGTATAAACATCAACGAAAGGGAAAATTTCAAAAGATATATGTTGCCTATTTTTATTTGTTTTGTCACTAAAGCAGCACATTTTGAATTAGTATCAGATTTGTCATCTGATGCCTTCATTGCTGCATTAAAAAGATTCTTCTCTCGTAGGGGTAGAAGCTCGATTATATTTTCTGACAATGCAACAATTGTTGGGTGCCAGTAAGAATTGACTAAATTGTATAATCTTGTTAAAAACCCAGATGAATCTTTAGAAAATTACTTGACTTCTGAAGAAGTAAAATGGAACTTTTTGCTTCCTAGAGCTCCCAATTTCGGAGGACTTTGAGAGGCAGGAGTCAGATCATTTAAATATCACCTTAAACATGTTGTAGGGGAAACAAAATTTACGTATGAAGAATTTCCGACAGTGACACTTCAAATATTCAAATAGAAGGTATATTAAATCCTAGGCCCATCACTCCATTACCGGCAGATGACGATTGTATTGAAGCTCTAACTCCAGGGGTCATTTTTTAATTTTTAGACCTATTACAACGATTCCAGAACCAGAACTTCTATAGAAGCCTGAGAACAGATTAAGCCGCTGGCAAAAATTACCAAAAATTTTCCAGGGTTTTTGTAAAAAGGGGTGGAGTTACCTAATTATCACATCCAACAAAAGAAATAAGTGGCAGTTTTCAAAAACATATTTAAAATTAATTCTGTAGTTTTGATAAAGGAGGATCATTTGCCCGTTAATAAATGGTCCCTTGGTCGTATTGTAGAGGTTTTCCCTGGAACTGATGGCAATATAAGAGTAGTCACTGTTCGAACTTCAAATGGTCTGTTGAAACCACCAGCAACAAAATTATCTATTTTAATGTAAACAGCTAAATTCTTGTGAACTTAGAAATAGTGTAATACCTTGATATTTTGTATTATTTAGCATATATTTAGTATATTAAGTTGATTGTAATGTGATTATCATACATGTTTATTGCTGTGGGGGGGGCAGAATGTTGCTGCCTTTAACTGTAATTGTGCCAAACTTGGCGATCTTACAATTCAAACTGTACGCCGCCAACTAGGCGGGAAAATTGTGAGTTCGTTCGTTGGCAGACACCAAGTCGCATCAGTGTCCATTGTCGAGAACTTCGGTTCTAAGTAATGTATCACTTATATTACTGTTGAGTTTTAATAAACTACTAAAAGACATTATCGCCTCATACAGTCCACATTTCGATACAAACAGCATGCTTATCACAAGAACAACTCTGAGTACAGCTGCCAGTTTGTCAAAAACATTAACAAAAAGGTTCTTAGTAGTATTTAATTAACAGGATCCTTAATAATAAGTAAACCAAAGAATTATTTAATTAATGTAAAATGAGATATTCTGTTAATTGATATGAAAGACTGATTAAAAAACTTATAAAAATTATATTTACTAATCATGTCTGAAACATTAAAAATACTAAAGTACAAACTTATGAAATTATGTATTAAAGTTTATTGTAATTATCTTCTAAAATCGATTTAATCAAATTTATAAAAGACTGACTACTTTTGAAGAAAATATTAGGCATATTTCTGTAAGATTATAAAAAACCATGTACAGCCACAGTGTTGGACCTCGCTATGCAAATACATAATTATTATCAACATACAGAAGCATATACTCACATCTTGATTGCTAGGTTTGTCCTTGCAGTAGTTCTTTTCGCAATATCTACAAAATTTTAAAAAAATTAAAAAAATTTTAAATATATATATGTCTTGTTTTAAAATATTTTAATATACATCCATGACAAAATAAACACACTAATATTTTACACAGTAGTGACTGATAAAAGCATAAATTATATTTTTAAAACATTCAAAACTACACCAGTACATTAATTTTAACAAACTAGCCACTACACAGCCATCCTTCATCTGGCTTTTAAATGTACCGAAAAAATGCCTAAAGAGAACACTAAACATTAAATTAAGAAACTACACAGAATTTTACTCTGCAGAACAATTTTATATATATTAAACAAATTTATTGCATATAAAAAATTACAATGAAATACACAATATTCCTTAATATAAATATTAATCATCCCAATAAATAAATTAACCAACTTCTCGTTGCTTTTGCTCGACAAACGTCAAGTATCCAAGAGATACATTACATTAAAAAACTGCACAGAATTATCGCCTTCATTTTTCCAAGTGGCAATAGTGCTGATATCAGCAATAATGGCAACAGTGATATATCAGCAATAATGGCTCTGTGCCATTGTTGCTAATATAATGAGAGAGAAATATGAATTTAATAGGATTTCATTAAAAAATTTTTTTAAAATCTCATTTGAATTTTGAACAAAATTGCTTTGAGGTGCACTAGCTCTTGTCTAGATGCACCTATGTACCAAATTTCATAGCCTCCTGGGTCTGATAATTACTGGCTTACACGCAGCACAAACAAAAGACACAAACACACAGACAGACAGCCTCTTTCTTTTATAATATGTACAGATGAAGCAATACGTTCTTTATGGTTTTGGGCAATGAAAAGAGAATAATAAATTTTGGGATAAATGTATATGACAATCATCAAAGAATTGAAGAACTGATTCACGAAAAATGGTATACATTACCAGTTTACATAATTATTATATTACAGTTTACATAATTATTATATTATGTAAACTGGTAATGTATACCAACTTAAATATTTTGACTTCAAATCGTTCAGTAAGAAATTTTGATTTCATTTGGACTATTATGTTAATTTAATCAGTAACTAAAATACAGTCAGTTGGACATATTTCCATATTTTCTATGAAAGACTACATATACTATGATAAATTTTGGTCACATATTATGATTCTATATAGATTGTGTTCCTAATTATCACTGATTCTTCAGGAAAACTTTATTATGAAAATCCCTGTATCATGTCACTGAAATCCCTAATTAAGAATGATATGTAATGATGTAAATAACTGTTCGGAGATTAAATTTAGCGGAAACCTGATCTATAAAATCGGGGTGGGGGGTAACTAATATCTTTCCCTTTCATTTTCCTCATGTCCATGTGTAAATATTCACAGCACTGAAGCATTAATATGTTTCTAACGAGGAGATCAGATATAATGCTTTTAACGCCTGATGTGATGATGACGAAATGAACTTGAAATGACTCATCGTAAAGATCGTCAGGGTTGTAAAATGGTTATTATCCTGAAAAGTAAAAAGAAATGTGAAAAAAAACTCAGGTCTGAACGTTACAAGCAACAAAAAAAGCATCTACATCCTCCCATAAGAAGAAAAGAAAAGTTAGTTCAAAACGTTGTATGATAACTCCTGAACTCGAAAGAACCATTTGGAACACAAGTGGTGAAAATGCTACAACCAATTGATATCAATAGCCACATGATGTTTTTCGACAATTTTTTAAAAAATTCTTATGATCTGCTGGTTGAGTAAAATACAAGGAGTCAGAACCACCGGCCCAATTAGAAACAACAGAACAGCTTTTTGCCTTTTAATGCCAGATAAGATATGAGACAATAGAAATCGTGGTACTTATGACTACTGTTTCAACGAAGAGAAATAACTATAGTAAATGGAGGATACAAGTGTAGCAACAGCATAAATCTTTGATTACATAGAGCCTCTAACCTGAGTTTCATGCCATCAAAGAGTTTGAAAGAATATTTCCAAATTTTGAAACCTAGTACTATAGCCCAATAGAACAAAATCATGGATGGTGTCAACCAGCAAGATTAGCTTTTAGAAAAACAATTCAAATCTGTGGATAAATGGTACTGGCCATTCACAATTAGCTCTTAGAAAAACAAAAAATTCAAATCTGTGGCAACAAATGCCAATATTTACCAGCATGATTATCTCTTTAATAACAAACAATTCAAATCTGTTGCAAAAAATGATACTGGCCAATATTTATGACAGTTATTGACATAGCTGTCATAAATACGCATATTCTGTTCAATCAAACAAATTCTGTAAAGAAAAGTATAAAAGACATTGAAGATATATCTCAGTTGCGTACCTCAAACTAGGAATAACTTCTAAGAAAAGCATTGGAAGACCTTTGGTGATGTCATCAAGACCAAAAGTGATTGACTCTCAAGTTTAGATAGAAAAACCCCTTATAGGTAAAACAAAGAAATGCCGTTTCAAAATATAGGAAACTCTTACGTTTTGTAAAAATGCAATGCAACACTTTGTGTGAAATATTTTCCACTATATCATGCTCAAATATTATAAATTGCTCAAAAATTCAACTAAGGAAATTTAGATCAAAAATATGATTCTTCTTTTAAATCCTTTATTGTTTTCATTTGCAAATTCCTATTTTTTTAAAACTAACTTTAAGTTTTATAAAAAGCAGGGGCTGGTCTTTATTCCAAAGGGCGCCCGCGATCTCTGATAGATCACCAACTACTAACTAAATTAAAGAATAAGAAACGGGTAATGATTGATGAAAATGTATTAATTTTAAACTTTTTCATTTTAATAATTTGAGCTTACGTTAAAGCAGGGTATGGGGAAAGGAAAGGACATGGATGGAAGGCCAGGGCCTGTCACAAAGTCAAACCGCAGATTTTCATTAAGAAGGTTCGCATTTTTTACATATCTGAATACTTCCCAGATACCTAATATATTCCAGGAGTATAAAAAAATGAGCTAAAAAAAACGGGTACAGGTTAAACATGCAGTGTGAGGGAGATGGGCACTGAACATATTGTGTAAAAATCCAGCGCAAGATTTCCTCAAACACATATGCAGAGGCTTGCACAAAAAATTGGGGGGGGGGGGTCTGACCGATGACAATTGGCTTGACAATCATGGCTTGAAAGCGCATCTAGTATATAGTAGTTTTATAGAGCGCACAGTTGTTAAGATAGGTATTGACAAAATGGACCTTTTTAAATGCATACTATGTTTTTCCATAGGCATTCTCGCCTCAAATTATGCTATAATTAAATTTTGTAAAGTGAGAAATTTGCACTAACACAAGTTCAGTTGAAAAAACGATTATTATTAAAACGTTCTTTTCTTTCTTCCACTGAGCACGAGCGTTCACGGAGCATCACGAGCAAATACAGAAGAAAAAAACGTGCATCAGTCATTCTTCAAATATTGAAACAAGTGCCATCCTGGCTGGCATATTACTTATCACAAATTCCCAATTTCAAAACATGCCTATACTTCGTATACTTGATAAAAAAAATTTTAAGTTGTGCCATCATCTAGAAATACTCAAAAAAAAAAAGATAGAAAAAAAAAATAGAAATCATAACATCTAAAATCAGTCAAAAACTATAGATTTATTGCATCTAAATTTTGAATGTAAAGCAGGAAATCCAGAAGTTTAATAAAAAAAAAGAGATATTAATATATAACCATAAACTAACCTTAGAAGCTAAAATTTTTGATACTAATTTGGAAAAACTTCTGTTGCAATTATTACGACTGGCACTTCGTATAATTTTGAATGTAAAATCGAAATTATGGTCAAATAGGTATGTCATTTGGAAAAAGTGTGATTTTTTGCACCATACTATGTTGAAAATGTTATATACAATCTAATATATATAAGTAAGTTGCATTTCAAAGACATGAAAAAAAATGCAAGTTATTGCCAATCAGCCCAGCTGGGAAATAAGGCGATTCAAACTTTGGGCGAGGTTTTTAGTGTAAGAAGGAAAAAGGGGTTGGTATGTTATTAAATATAAAGTATATTCATTTTTAAAATTATACTTATGTGGTTCAATTGGCAAAGTCTAGTAATGCCCAGTAATATACACAGGGGCCATAAGTGAAAACTGTTGGAGTTGAAGGAAATATCGACTGAACGACAATGAGAGCAGCCAACCCTGGAAACATGAAACCCAAGATTCTCAGCAACCAGGAATTACCAGAAGGGCGGTTACAGGCCTGGGTGCATTTGAGGTAATGCAAACTGACCTAAAGCGTTGCCTGAGTAGGGGCCTGAAAATGTTATCACATGGATCGTCTGGGGGTCATGTCAATTCTGATAATGTTATGATAGTTATAATATAGTGGGGGGGCATGTAATAATATTTAACTAGATCTCAGTTATGTTCTTTGCAAATTCATGTATTTTTTTACCTTTTTTAGAAAGAATCCGGAGTATAGAATTTTATTTTTTCAAAATATGTTAAATACAATGAAAGAAATAATAATTAAATACATATTTATGGTGTGGATAAAATTTAGATATCATATATTTGTTGTAAATAAAATTAATATTATATTAAATAAAAATATGGTTGAATCTTCTTTCTTATAATAAATGACTTACAGTAGGTTAAGATAATTCGGATGAAATAAAATTTAATAAAAAAATAATGCTGAAAATCCCTAGTGGTGGGGGAATGGAATTCACACAGTTTTATAACTTTTATTATTTCAGTGAATTTCATTAATTAGTGGGAAATATTTTTCTTAGTAAAGGTTAATGTTTCAAAATCAGGATATTTGGTGAGAGACTGAAGAAACTGAAATAAATAAAAAAAAAAAACTTGGAGTTGGCAACTATGTATTATATGGTACAAATCTTCTTTAAGCCAATATCTGCTCACCAGTAGCTACTTCTTATATTTAATTTTGGCTTTAGCAATGTTCGTAAGTAGTGACAGATAACCAATGGCACCATAATGCTACTTAAGCTAATCTTTTATCGCATTACAGAAATTTAGCAAAACCTCCACTCGACTTCTCAAATTTACAAGGGTAATTCAAGATTCAAAATTTTGTTTTGGATTTCGCTACAATATTAAATTTATTTATATATTAAATACAATGAACAACTATCAGAAAAATTAGAAAAAATACAGAAAAATCTGAAATTTACAGGTTTATTTGATTATATCAGAGTTTATATATTAATGCAATCTTACAAAATTCTTTAACATTAACAAAAATAACCGTGGAATTTCATTCTGCAATAAACCCTAGCCACGAAGATTCAATTAAAACTTAAACAGCATTTCATTTTGGGAAAAAATACAGCAGTTTCAAACATGGTAAAACTGGTGATTTTACATGACATAAGAATATATCTGAATTTATTTTTTTTACACATACTAACCACTTGCAATACCAGCCACTTGAAACAGTTATAATAAAACGAAAAAATATATAATGATTTTCATGAGTCGAGTTAGAGTAATTTCATAAAAATATTTCATATTTATAATCATCATCTCTTGGTTTAAATGTATTTTTATTTAAATCATCAGATTAAAAAGTAGAAAAAATATTCTAAAGAATGCATTATTCTGAGCAGTATTACCACTCCTCACTTTCAGATTACTAAGTTTTTTAATCAAAAATTTATTAAACTCACACAAAATATGAAATTAATAAAAAACTTCAAAATTCGGGCTTTGACCATACATATTCAGGTAGATGCTATGTGTATTTTCGTGTCTGTAGATGTTATTGTTTTTACACAGTAGGAAGAACATACAGATTCCTCATTATTTAATAGTAGAAATTTAAAATCTAAATTCTCTTATACATACTTTTCAGCTTTTGAAAAGTTTCGCAAAACGTGAGCATAAATGGCAAGAGCGTCTTCATGCCTTCCTAATTTACCCAAAACAATAGCTCCTTCATCATATAAACCTGTAAAACACAAATATAGAATTTTCTACTTTTTTACAAGTTATAAAATACATATCATTACAATGTGATAAAAAAGTCATAATGTGTTTCTAAATTATATTAAATCATACCTTTATTCATCATGTATGTTGCAAACCTTTCTACAGTATAGTGCTTTGAATTTTCCAAAAAAGCAAGGAGCTTTCGCCGCATTTCTCCCAGTTCCCCTGGTTCTTCACCAGCAGCACCAACTGGATGACCTACAGATTTATTTCTTATTATTTCATGGATGCTATAAAATACTCATTCACTGACAGTTTGTTAACACAAATTTCTAACATCTTGTAAAATTGTTGTACTGTACATCAGTTGCCAAATCATGAAACTGTTCAAAAATTTGTCACTTTTGACAAACTTGTGCTACTAAAATTTATCTCTGAGCAATTCTGAAAACTCCATCATTTCCTTTTGCTAATTAAAAAAATTTTTTAAGTATCAATTCAAATCAATTTATAATAAAATCTAATAATTAAAATAAAACTAAATAAATAATAGGTTATAATTTATTTAGGCTTCAGAAACATTTTTTAAATATTATTTAGAATTCAGCACCATTTTTCAAAATATTTGGCTTAAAATACCCATGTTTGAAAACTGCTGAAAAGAATGAAAACATTTGAAAGAAAAACTTATTATAAGCTATGAATATTTAAACTGAGGGCATATAAAATTGATTTAATAAAGCAGAGTACTTATTTAAAGTAAGTAAAATTCTCAACAAATCCTGCCAAAGCATAGTAAAAAATTGCATTTGAAAAGGGAACTGCATAAACTACTTGAAATGACACTTTGTCGCCTGTCATGCATCCATGGATATCCATCAACCATTTGAGTTAAATTATTTTTTTAAAAAATCTAATTCATCATTTGAGATTTTCTGCTTATATAGGATGAAATAGAAAGAATCAATAAAGCAAGACATTTTACCCAAATTGCTTAAAAAACAAACAACTGTAATTAGCAAATCATCCTTTTCTATTATACTGAATGATGTTTAACAAGAGATGTTTCATGCTGCAAGCTTCTATGTTTATGTGTTTGTTATTATAATGAAAAATAAAATAAAACAGCCACACTGTTTTGGTGATTTGTTGATGTTCTAAAGATTACTGTTAATAAATTGTATAACCAAAGAGGAAAGATTATATGCAGAGAAAGCATTTCACATGTATGGCGTCTACAATGCCCTATGATCTTTTACAACTACATATTTTGAGATGTAATAAGTATGACAGTGCAATTAACATAAACTTCAAACTGATAGCATTTTTGACAGACCTTTAAACTAGTTTAAGAAATTTTTCAGTTACATCTGCCCCTGGGACAGCAAATACCTCGAGATATACTATGACAAGAATGAGTGGCTTCAGTGAATTGAATTTATTGTACTTATTTCAATCAACTATACGAATTCAAGATGTTAAATAAACTTTGCTAGATACCTAGAAATTTGATATCCTCGGAGTATGTAAAATGTGTCTTAATGAAACAATTTTCATAGTTCTAGATCCATCAGATCGAAGTTCTAGATCTGTCAGAAGAATGAGCGTTCTTCAGATTTCAGTTAAAGAACATGAAATATTTGAAATTTTCCAATAAGCTCACTATAGCATTAAAAAAGCTTTCAAATATATTTATTACTACAGTTAAATAGTCTTTTACTATCACGAGATACAAAACAAAGCTAATTTGGGGAAACGATAGCAAAAAATTGCAGCATAGTTTGCAACAAAATGCTTCTTAAAGTGATAATTTTAGATTACAATTATAACCATATGCAAGACTAAATTCTTGCACTTATATTTTTCCAACTTTTTTTATCCTGTGCCAAAACAATTTCATGAATTACATAAATGCTTATGCTAATTTGCAACACTAGAAATCTTAGGATATGTTATCTTGTAAATATTAATGAAACAGCATTCTGTTTTAAAAGTAGTAATCTAAGAAATTTTTTTAAAAAAATTAAGAAAAATATTTTTGCATTTAATGTTAGCATAATTTATACTTTAAAATTACATTTCAATTCTAAGCACAGATCATTCAATTACTGTGTGTTCCAACTAAAATTCCCTAAAGGTATAAACTGATGTTAGCTTTTCCCGCGGCGGGGAATACAGTTAGAATGCACAGGAACGAGGATATGCTAAGATGTATAGATCCAGCACTGTGCCACGTATGATATTTCATAACTTTAATTCAATCATGTTGTTATTGTTTATCAATAAATAATCAAAAGAAAACTACTGTAAATTAAATGACTCAACACTTCAAAACAAAGACAGCTCAAATTTGTTGGTGACCCGGACGTGATTTGGGATTACTGTGAATCTTCTGATGGAATGTGAACCTTTCTTTGTCTTGGAAGTTTCTGAGTCACGACCATGGAATTGAGGTAGGTCCCTTTAGATTCAGTTCTTGATGTTATTGATGTGATGTGATAGGAAGTTTTTGAATTTATAGTGGTGATTTTGATTATTTAGTTGTTGTAAATGATTGGAAATTTAGTTTTGAAAGCAGATTAGTTTCTGATGAACATGGTGAAAAGAAAGAAACGAAACTGCATTAGGTAGCTTTTTGTAATCTTTGACCAAAATTGAAAAAAGCAAGAAACACTTTAAGTGAAATTTACAAACAGAATAAAACTTATGATCTTTATGATCAAAGAAACCAGTGATTGAAAAAATAAGAATGTTAAGGTTTAGATAGTGAAATAGAAGCGATAAATTGGTAAGATGAGTTAAAACGAAATTGCTGAGAGTGAATATCAGGACGCGGTATTCATGGAAAGAAAACTAATCGGATAGAAAGGTGCTTTAAAAAAGGGCTTCAAAAAATGAAATTCAAGTTAATGAAATGTTAGGTTGGAACAAACGCATAGTAAATGAAGTAGTGTAGTAAGCTTCCGAATTAATATTGAGAAGTTTTATGTGATTGCTCTTGGTTGATGGAATTCCTATGAAGTAGCTATTCATAATAACAATTCCTTATTAAGGTTGATAGTTTTCGTATCTGAAAACATTTTAGGAGTATGCCTTATCGGCAGTTTCGGGATTTCTTGGTTAATAAACGAAAATTATGATTCCTCAATAAGTTGTTAAAAGAAGATTTGGAAGGCTAGATTTGATTATAAGCTCGCACATGAATAACTGTTGCTGCTTGATTTCGTTAAGACATGCACGGTTCCAACATTGCGAAGAATGTATGATACGATTGAGATTCAATTCGATCATTAAAGTTTAGGTGTTGGCAGCAGCCTTATAGTAGTTTCCTTTGCCTGGTAATACTACAAAAATTGCCAGAAGCTAAATTTGTATACAATAACAACGCAATCGTGCTCATTTGATATAGAGCACTTAGTTGAGGTTTAGAAAAAGGTAGAAAGAAGAGAGCATCTTCTTTATTATCAGATTCAAAAAAAAAAGCGGGAAATGCCTTTTAGTAGAGGAACGAGTCAAAATTATCAGAAAAATTATGTAGACTCAAAACGAAAAATTTCAGAAGCGCGCATTTCAACAACAGCTGCTTTAATAGCCGTAGCGAATGAAATATGTAGTTTTGTTAAGATAAATCTCACAAAACACATAAATGTCCTTTACCATTAACAGAAAAAAGAAATTCTTTAAAAACACAAGGGCGATGTTACATTTGTCTGAAATGTAGACATACCTCAAAATTTTGCTGAAAAAAGGACCAGCTCTGCAAAATATGTAAAAAACCTCACAATTATTTAATATGTGATAAGGTTAAACTGACAAATAATGCAGCCGAATCAAATGGTAAAGAAACAGACAATAATTTATTTACGGTACAGTCATTGCATTGCTTTGGAGGAAGTAAAAGGGAATTTGTAAACAAAACTGAAAGCGCTGGAGCATCGCTCCTGGGTTTATTACAAACATTCAGCGCTATACAAATAAAAAGAAATAAAAACAAATAAAAAGAGCGAAATTTTAACAGAACATTTATCAGGAGGAAAACTGCAGACTCGTTAGGATTGAGGGCTACCAGATGTGAAACGTTTGAAATATATGGGTTACATAGCGAGCGTCAACTAAACAACCATACTATGTGCGCTGATTTGCGGAAGAATCCCAACTAAAACGCCGCATAGAGCCGGTAATTGAGCGCTGCACATAGAAGTTCTCAAAGGGAGTCAAAACATGGCTCTAAGTAAGAATAGATTGGCGGTAGTGGAAATACGAAAAGCTACAATGTTGTGGACCTACACTTGGGAATTTTATAAAGAAATAAGATGGGAAACGGTATGACAGGTTTGGGTTGTAATCCAATGTAAGGTAATGGGACGGAAATCATGGAATTGATAAGACTTGTATACCAATATCTGTGAAAAACAAACAGATTTTGAAAGAGTTACGACTTTGTGCGATTTGGAGTAAGGAATAAATCAGAGAGAAGGAAATTCGCGATCAGATGCAGATGCCATAATGTTGAAAGAAATACCACGTTTAAAAGGGAGGTATGAAACAAATTATGGAAGGAGGGTTGCACATTGATAGTAATTATGTTGCAGAAGAGTTTGATACGAAATAATAATTTAGGGATGATACCATCTGTATTTTCATATTAACCTAATTCTGCGCCGTAAGGGATGGTATAATTGAACAAGTTGTATTTCATGGAGATTGTGATAGGAAAATTGGTTATTTTATGCCTCATCATGCTGTAGTACGCGAACCAAAGGAACGTACGAAAGTTAGGATTGTGTATGATGCGTCGTCCAGAGATAGAGATAGACAGTCACTCAATGATTGTTTAGATAGTGGTCCCAATCTTAATCTAGATTTGCTCAGGATTATTTTAAGATTTCGTTATCACCCAATTGCTTTTAGTGCTGATATTCAGAGAGCATTTTTAGAGATTGGCATAGTAGAGAAGGATCGAAAGTTTTTGCAGTTTTTATGGAAAAATGAGGGGGGAACCAAATTTGATTTCAATGGTCATGATATCAGAATTTTACAAATGACATGTGTTCCTTCTGGTGTGAAATGCAGTCTTTTTATTTTGACAGGAGCTATACGACTTCATTTAAAGAAATATAAAAAATCACACAGTGAAGCATATTCTATTTTGAAAGAACTTTATGTTGATGACTTAATAATTGGGGCATCAACTGTTGAAGAAGCGGTATCTCTTGCAAGAGATTAAATTTATACTGAGTGAAGCAAACATGAATTTACAGCAATAGTCTTCGAATTCAGCTATCCTTAATCAAAG